GACGGGAATTTTGGGGGTTTTGGGGGGGTGGGGGGGGGGTGGGGGACAGATCCCTCATTAGTGTTTCTCCTGCTTTTGGGGTTTAAGAATTTTGGGGGTTTTTAAGGGGCCTTTGGGGGGGTTTGGAGGGGGTGGGGGGCAGATCTCTCGTTGTTGCTGGTCTTCCTTTAAAAGTTCAGGAATTTCGGGTGGTTTGGGGGGGTCTGTGACCCACTCATCGCAATGGGGTGCCCCCAAAACTTGGGGAGAGCTGTTTGACATTATTGGGGTAATTTGGGGGTGCTGAGGGGGGGTCCATGACCCCTCCCAAAGAGGCACCCCCAATTTGAGGGGGGCTTGGAGCTGCTCTGCCTCTCTCCCCCACCCTTGGGCTGATTTTTGGGGGGGGCTGTGCCAATTTTGGGGGGGGTCACAGATAAACGATTGAACCCCAACCCACCCCCCATCAAACTGGGGGGGGTCCTGCCCTTTTTGGGGGGGTCCTGCCCTTCCTGGGGTGTCCCCACCCTCCCACAGCCCCTCCCCCTTTTTCCCCTCCCCCTCCTCGGGGCCCGCTGCCAAAAGCCCGGAGGGGGTTTTTGGGAGAACAATGGCTCTCCCAGCTGGATTTTGGGGGGGGGGACGCCCCGGTGTGACCCCCCCCGCGGCCCCCCCAGGCGAGTTCGAGGAGGAGTCGAAGCAGCCGCCGATGACGGAGCAGCAGCGGCACCAGCTCAAGCACCGGGAGCTGTTCCTGTCCCGCCAGTTCGAGTCCCTCCCGGCCACCCACATCCGGTACCGGGGGCAAAAAAGCCTTTTGGGGGGGTGGCAAAAGGGTCTGGGGGGCTTCCCAGGTTTTGGGGTGACCCCCCTCCCCAATTTTTTCCTCTCTAGGGGGAAGTGCAGCGTGACGCTGCTGAACGAGACCGACATCCTGGGGCAGTACCTGGAGAAGGAGGTGAGCTCTGTGTGGCCCAAAATGGGTCTGGGGGGGGATTTTGGGGGTGTCCCCACCCCGCTGAGCCCCCCCCGCCGGAGGTTG